AACATCGTCTGTTGCTGCTGTAGCATCGTCTGTTGCTGCTGTACCACCGTCAGCTGCTGCTGCTGCTGTAGCATCGTCTGCTGCTGCTGTAGCATCGTCTGTTGCTGCTGTACCACCGTCAGCTGCTGCTGCTGCTGCTGCTGTAGCACCTTTGTTGGTGTGGCTTATTGAGAATACCAAGAAACAATTAACCCCAGAGGATTTGCCACCCAGGATAACCCAAAAAAGTCAGTGTCATCGAAGACTGGGATGGGTATGGGGTGCATAAAGATATTAAACTAAAGAGTGAGTGAGTGTGTGTGTGTAGTGTGTGTGTGTGTGTGTGTGTGTGTGTGTGTGTGTGTGTGTGTGTGTGTGTGTGTGTGTGTGTGTGTGTGTGTTGTGTGTGTGTGTGTGTGTGTGTGTGTGACTCAACAATCAATATTTGCACCAATAACTCATTACAGTTGTGACCGGGTGTGGAAGTGTGAATTGCTCATTACTCTTTTAATTTGTTCATGATTGTAGCCAAAGTATAAACGTAAGTAACCATTCTACAGAATTCATTACCTTTGTAACTTGTGAGCTCATTACCTTTGTACCTAGTTCAGCTATCAAAACTTTGGGGGCCCAGTCCCTGGACCCATTACGTACCTCTGTAATCTGTAAATACCTTTGTAACTTGTCATGATTGTGACCAGACTTACCTGGAGTTCATTACCTTTGTAAATTGTGAGTTCATTACCTTTGTAAATTGTGAGTTCATTACCTTTGTAAATTGTGAGTTCATTACCTCTGTAACTTGCTCAGCTATCAAAACTTTGGAGTCCAGTCCCTGGACCAATTATGTACCTCTGTAATCTTTTGACTACCGCCCACAGGATGCGTATGGGGTGCATAATAAACATATTAAACTAACTAACATCGAAGACTGTCTAACTTATTTCCATTGGGGTCCTTAATCTTGTCTCCCAGGATGCAACCCACACAAGTCGACTAACACCCAGGTGAACAGGGAAAAATGCCTGGAACTAGTGCTCATATTGGTGAATTTAAAGCCAGTAAAGGTTGGTTTGAGAGATTTAAGAATCGTAGTGGCATACACAGTGTGATAAGGCCTGTTCTGGAAGAAAATGCCAAACAGGACCTACAGTACTCAGGAGGAAAAGGCACTCCCAGGACACAGTGTCTCATCAGTCATTGCTGCATCTTCAATAAAGGTAAGTGTCATTTATTCTTCATTTAGTAGACTAGTACATGCACAATATATACTGTGCATGTACTACTCTACTACTGTGCATGTATCCTTCTATTTGTGTGTGGGAAAATGTATATTGCATGTGGTAAAAAAAAATTTTTTCATACTTTTGGGTGTCTTGCACGGATTAATTTTATTTCCATTATTTCTTATGGGGAAAATTCATTCACATACCGATTATTTCGCATAACAATTACCCCTCTTGCACGGATTAAAATCGTTATGCGGGGGTCCACTGTATATGGAATAGGTGGTAAGTTATTAAATGCTGTAAAGAGTTTTTATGAGAATAGTGAGGCTCAGGTTAGGGTGTGTAGAAGAGAGGGAGACTACTTCCCGGTAAAAGTAGGTCTTAGACAGGGATGTGTAATGTCACCATGGTTGTTTAATAGATGGGGTTGTAAAGGAAGTAAATGCTAGGGTGTTCGGGAGAGGGGTGGGATTAAATTTTGGGGAATCAAATTCAAAATGGGAATTGACACAGTTACTTTTTGCTGATGATACTGTGCTTATGGGAGATTCTAAAGAAAAATTGCAAAGGTTAGTGGATGAGTTTGGGAATGTGTGTAAAGGTAGAAAGTTGAAAGTGAATATAGAAAAGAGTAAGGTGATGAGGGTATCAAATGATTTAGATAAAGAAAAATTGGATATCAAATTGGGGAGGAGGAGTATGGAAGAAGTGAATGTTTTCAGATACTTGGGAGTTGACGTGTCAGTGGATGGATTTATGAAGGATGAGGTTAATCATAGAACTGATGAGGGAAAAAAGGTGAGTGGTGCGTTGAGGTATATGTGGAGTCAAAAAACGTTATCTATGGAGGCAAAGAAGGGAATGTATGAAAGTATAGTAGTACCAACACTCTTATATGGGTGTGAAGCTTGGGTGGTAAATGCAGCAGCGAGGAGACGGTTGGAGGCAGTGGAGATGTCCTGTTTAAGGGCAATGTGTGGTGTAAACATTATGCAGAAAATTCGGAGTGTGGAAATTAGGAAAAGGTGTGGAGTTAATAAAAGTATTAGTCAGAGGGCAGAAGAGGGGTTGTTGAGGTGGTTTGGTCATTTTGAGAGAATGGATCAAAGCAGAATGACATGGAAAACATATAAATCTATAGGGGAAGGAAGGCGGGGTAGGGGTTGTCCTCGAAAGGGTTGGAGAGAGGGGGTAAAGGAGGTTTTGTGGGCAAGGGGCTTGGACTTCCAGCAAGTACAGTGCCTGCACTTTAAAGGAGGGGTTTGGGATATTGGCAGTTTGGAGGAATATGTTGTGTATCTTTATATGCGTATGCTTCTAAACTGTTGTATTCTGAGCACCTCTGGAAAAACAGTGATAATGTGTGAGTGTGGTGAAAGTGTTGAATGATGATGAAAGTATTTTCTTTTTGGGGATTTTCTTTCTTTTTTGGGTCACCCTGCCTCGGTGGGAGACGGCCGACTTGTTGAAAAAAAAAAAAAAAAAAAAAATTATAAGTACCCGAGATTACCTAATGATGACCCACCAATTGCAACATCCCTGCCCAACTTCTTAAAACACAAGCATTATACATTCCACCTCCAGCATCAAGAATTTTTGACTGAAGGGTGAAATGCCTAAAGCTCAGAAAACTAGCTATTAATAATAAAAAAAAAAAATCCAGGCAAGCACTTTTAAATGAGACTATCCAACATATCTATTATTAGGGAATGCATTAAGTGAATTTGTTGTAGTTAATCTTATTAGTAGAGACAAAGACCCCATTCCCCAATAGTGTAAATGCAAATATGATTTCTCAAATGACCACTTCATTTCAGTAATAAACACAAGTCTTTTTTTTTTCAACAAACCAGCTGTATCCCACCGAGGCAGGGTGGCCCAAAAATAAAACAAAACTTTCTCTTTTAAAATTTAATTTATACAGAAGAAGGGGTTCCTAGCCCCTTGCTCTTACAACACACATGGCTTATGGAGGAAAGATTCTGTTCCACTTCCCCATGGAGATCAGAGGAAATAAACAAGAACAAGAACTAGAAAGAAAATAGAAGAAAACCCAGAGGGTGTGTATATATATATGCTTGTACATGTATGTGTAGTGTGACCTAAGTGTAAGTAGAAGTAATCTTGCATATTTATCAAACAGAAAAAAGACACCAGCAATCCTACCATCATGTAAAACAATTACAGGTTTCCGTTTTACACTCACTTGGCAGGACGGTAGTACCTCCCTGGGCGGTTGCTGTCCACCAACCTACTACCTACAAAACATAAGTCTATTTTTTTTTTTTTTCAACAAGTTGGTCGTCTCCCACCGAGGCAGGGTGACCCAAAAAAGAAAGAAAATCCCCAAAAAGAAAATACTTTCATCATCATTCAACACTTTCACCACACTCACACATTATCACTGCTTTTGCAGAGGTGCTCAGAATACAACAGTTTAGAAGCATATACGTATAAAGATACACAACATATCCCTCCAAACTGCCAATATCCCAAACCCCTCCTTTAAAGTGCAGGCATTGTACTTCCCATTTCCAGGACTCAAGTCCGACTATAAGAAAATAACCGGTTTCCCTGAATCCCTTCACTAAATATTACCCTGCTCACACTCCAACAGATCGTCAGGTCCCAAGTATCATTCGTCTCCATTCACTCCTATCTAACACGCTCATGCACGCTTGCTGGAAGTCCAAGCCCCTCGCCCACAAAACCTCCTTTACCCCCTCTTTCCAACCCTTTCGAGGACGACCCCTACCCCTCTTTCCTTCCCCTATAGATTTATATGCTTTCCATGTTATTCTACTTTGATCCATTCTCTCTAAATGACCAAACCACCTCAACAACCCCTCTTCTGCCCTCTGACTAATGCTTTTATTAACTCCACACCTTCTCCTAATTTCCACACTCCGAATTTTCTGCATAATATTTACACCACACATTGCCCTTAGACAGGACATCTCCACTGCCTCCAACCGTCTCCTCGCTACTGCTTTTACCCCCCAAGCTTCACATCCATATAAGAGTGTTGGTATACTAAAATTTCATACATTCCCTTCTTGCCTCCATAGATAACGTTTTTTGACTCCACATATACCTCAACGCACCACTCCCCTTTTTTTTTCCCTCACAATTTATGATTAACCTCACCTTCATAAATCCATGCGCCGACACGTCAACTCCCAAGTATCTGAAAAACATTCACTTCTTCCATACTCCTCCTCCCCAATTTGATATCCAATTTTTCTTTATCTAAATCATTTGATCCCCTCATCCCTTACTCTTTTCTATGTTCACTTTCAACTTTCTACCTTTACACACATTCCAAACTCATCCACTAACCTTTGCAATTTTTCTTTAAAAATCTCCCATAAGCACAGTATCATCAGAAAAAAAGTAACTGTGTCAATTCCCATTTTGAATTTGATTCCCCATAATTTAATCCCACCCCTCTCCCGAACACCCTAGCATTTACTTCTTTTACAACCCCATCTATAAATATATTAAACAACCATGGTGACATTACACATCCCTGTCTAAGACCTACTTTTACCGGGAAGTAGTCTCCCTCTCTTCTACACACCCTAACCTGAGCCTCACTATCCTCATAAAAGCTCTTTACAGCATTTAGTAACTTACCACCTATTCCATAAACTTGCAACATCTGCCACATAAGTCTTATATGTTTTAAATCAATGGAATGACACATCCTCAAAATATGAAGCAAATCAATCAAAAAATTTAATAAAGACAAAACATTAAATATCATGATTAACTAACCCTTGCAAAACCTACCATGATAAATATTAATGATGTGACTTTTTCCTTGAAGTCCACAGAATGGACCACTTGTCCCAAGGACACTTCATACACATCAACACAACTTCCCTTCACTACAAGGTAGTGTGTGCCAGGTGGAGACCAGTGGACACTGTCAGCAACTATAGAAAAGAAAATGCATATTTATAGATACAGTATACATTTGTCACACAAAGTGGGAGTTGTCACATTTGCTCTTTGCTGATGACACTGTGCTCTTGGGAGATTCTGAAGAGAAGTTACAGAGGTTGGTGGATGAATTTGGTAGGGTGTGTAAAAGAAGAAAATTAAAAGTGAATACAGGAAAGAGTAAGGTGATGAGGATAACAAAAAGATTAGGTGATGAAAGATTGGATATCAGATTGGAGGGAGAGAGTATGGAGGAGGTGAATGTATTCAGATATTTGGAAGTGGACGTGTCAGCGGATGGGTCTATGAAAGATGAGGTGAATCATAGAATTGATGAGGGGAAAAGGGTGAGCAGTGCACTTAGGAGTCTGTGAAGACAAAGAACTTTATCCCTGGAGGCAAAGAGGGGAATGTATGATAGTATAATTTTGCCAACGCTCTTATATGGGTGTGAAGCATGGGTGATGAATGTTGCAGCGAGGAGAAGGCTGGAGGCAGTGGAGATGTCATGTCTGAGGGCAATGTGTGGTGTGAATAATGCAGAGAATTCGTAGTTTAGAAGTTAGGAGGAGGTGCGGGATTGCCAAAACTGTTGTCCAGAGGGCTGAGGAAGGGTTGTTGAGGTGGTTCGGACATGTAGAGAGAATGGAGCGAAACAGAATGACTTCAAGAGTGGAAGGAAGGCAGGGTAGGGGTCGGCCTAGGAAAGGTTGGAGGGAGGGGGGTAAAGGAGGTTTTGTGTGCGAGGGGCTTGGGCTTCCAGTGGGCATGCGTGAGTGTATTTGATAGGAGTGAATGGAGACAAATGGTTTTTAATACTTAACATGCTGTTGGAGTGTGAGCAAAGTAACATTTGTGAAGGGATTCAGGGAAACCGGCAGGCCGGACTTGAGTCCTGGAGATGGGAAGTACAGTGCCTGCACTCTGAAGGAGGGGTGTTAATGTTGCAGTTTAAAAACTGTAGTGTAAAGCACCCTTCTGGCAAGACAGTGATGGAGTGAATGATGGTGAAAGTTTTTCTTTTTCGGGCCACCTTGCCTTGGTGGGAACTGGCCAGTGTGCCAATAAAAAAAATAATAATAAGTCCCTGTAAGGTAAAACATTTGTAAATAAAAGTTTTTTTTACACAAGCCTTTTTACCATATTTATTAGCAAGTCTTGTCATTGAAAATTAAAATTTATAACTGGTTAAGACCCATATAATGTCAACTGAAATTTATTAGTTTTAAGTGAAAGATGTCATGGATATATGGGCTATCCATGTAATGTGTATGATTAGTTCCCTGAAGAACAAATTTTTACAACAATTTTATGAGAACAAAACAAGTATATAGCACCTTGGTTTGCAAATGCTTCCCATTATTAATGCTATAGCGCATTGCTTTTTAAATATTTCTAACCAGATGTGAAAATATTTAGTACTGCAGTTTTGGTTATTCATTTCTTTAAAAAACTGTGGCCTTCTCTATCATAATTCTCCCAATATAAGACATATTATAATTGCATACAAGACAAACTAGTCAAATTCTTAACCAGCAGGTCCCCATAAAATTTTACTCTTTTTTTTTTTAATATAATGTTCAAACAATTAGCTTCTGAATAAAATGTATAAATTATAGTATGTGTTTTTGTCAAATCATGTAAAGTTTAGTTGTTCTTAAAAATGTATTCCCCCAATTAGTCTTAATATATATATATACTGTGGACCCCCGCATACCGCACGCATCGCATACTGTACAATCCGCATACCGCTCGCTTTTTTCGCAAAAATTTTGCCTCGCATACCACCCAAAAACCCGCTCACCGCCCTTCGTCCGAGACGTGTCCAATGTGCGGCCTGAGCCACGCTCACATGTTCCGCCGGTGGCATTGTTTACCAGCCAGCCTCCGCGGTAACATCCAAGCATACTATTGGAACATTTCATATTATTACAGTGTTTTTGGTGATTTTTTTCTGGAAAATAAGTGACCATGGGCCCCAAGAAAGCTTCTAGTGCCAACCCTACAGCAATAAGGGTGAGAATTACTATAGAGATGAAGAAAAAGATCATCGATAAGTATGAAAGTGGAGTGCGTGTCTCCGAGCTGGCCAGGTTGTATAATAAACCCCAATCAACCATCGCTACTATTGGTGGTACAGCTGCTGCTGTACCACCGTCAGCTGCTGCTGCACTGTCAGCTGCTGCTGCTGTTGTACCACCGTCAGCTGCTGCTGCTGCTGTAGCATCGTCTGCTGCTGCTGTAGCATTGTCTGGTGCTGCTGTAGCATCGTCTGCTGCTGCTGTAGCATCGTCTGTTGCTGCTGTAGCATCGTCTGTTGCTGCTGTAGCATCGTCTGCTGCTGCTGTAACATCGTCTGCTGCTGCTGTAGCATCGTCTGCTGCTGCTGTAGCATCGTCTGTTGCTGCTGTAGCATCGTCTGTTGCTGCTGTACCACCGTCAGCTGCTGCTGCTGCTGTACCACCGTCAGCTGCTGCTGCTGCTGTAGCACCGTTGTTGGTGTGGCTTATTGAGAATACCAAGAAACAATTAACCCCAGAGGATTTTCCACCCAGGATAACCCAAAAAAGTCAGTGTCATCGAAGACTGTCTAACTTATTTCCATTGGGTCCTTAATCTTGTCTCCCAGGATGCAACCCACACCAGTCGACTAACACCAGGTGAACAGGGGAAAATGCCTGGAACTAGTGCTCATATTGGTGAATTTAAAGCCAGCAAAGGTTGGTTTGAGAGATTTAAGAATCGTAGTGCATACACAGTGTGATAAGGCCTGTTCTGGAAGAAAATGCCAAACAGGACCTACAGTACTCAGGAGGAAAAGGCACTCCCAGGACACAGTGTCTCATTCAGTCATTGCTGCATCTTCATAAAGGTAATGTGTCATTTATTCTTCATTTAGTAGAGTAGTACATGCACAATATATACTGTGCATGTACTACTCTACTATTGTGCATGTATCCTTCTCTTTGTGTGTAGGAAAATGTATATTTCATGTGGTAAAATTTTTTTTTTATACTTTTGGGTGTCTTGCACGGATTAATTTGATTTCCATTATTTCTTATGGGGAAAATTCATTCGCATACCGAACATTTCGCATAACAATCAGCCCTCTTGCACGGATTAAGGTCGCTATGCGAGGGTCCACTGTATATATATACATATACATGTATAGTATTTCACTTGGCAATTTCTAAGTGTCCACTTTTTGCTGAATTAATAGCTCTCTCTGTGTATGTATGGAAAACATAGGAACCAACCTGTTTTGAGGTTTGTGATAAAAGCTCTCCTTCCCTTGATAAGATTCCATGTGCGAAGGCTCTTGTCTTTGCCAACTGACAAAGCTAGTTTTCCTGTGGGATGAACTGCAAAGCTCGTCACTCCTCCAACATGAGCCTTCAAAGTCTTTTCACACTGCAAAAAATTAACATAATATTTTGCAAGAAACTATGCCTATACAATTTTTTTTGTCTTCAAGTGATGTGCATCAGGACAGAGGTGTGGAGGCAGTAATGGGTAGCATACTATTAGTAACATTATTTGATTAAGAAAAAGCACTAAATCTGTAGGAATCATTCAGAAATTTGCAGTGAAGAGGCAGCCTCAAAGGCTTTAATGAGTCACAAACTGTCAGTCACTTCCTTGACAGCTCAACCCTAGACAATATTATAAGGGAAATAATTTGGAATGTTCCTCATGGTTATTTAGAACATATTATTAGTCAAAAGCTTGACATTATGATAATTATGAAATAAGATAGAACCTATCATAAGCAAGATCCTTAAAATTTAAAGCACGATTCAAAAATACTGTATTAAAACTTTAGTGATGAACATCCAAGACTATTTCACATTCCCATGAACAATAAAGATAATCCATATTCATGGTGCTTGAACCCATTTGTGGAACTGGTACATTAACTCTATGTATCATTGGTAAGGTCACATTCAGATAATGCAGTGCAGTTCTGGCTCATATATGGAGCCAGTACATACCTATTCAGAAATACATGAAACTAGTCTGTATTTGTAGCTATGGAGAGGGTTTGTTCCATTAGAAAATATGAACTGCTGTAAAACAAATATGCAATGAACAAGATAAATCATGGAGTTATTTATCAGTTTTAGTGAGGGAGGGAGGGGTGGCATCATATAATTTTGTCCTGCCTCTCAACTTTCAACTGACTGACAGTGAATAGCTTTGTCATATCTAATTTTGATTGGTTTAGTTTGTTAGGTTTCAAGTTTATCAACTACAAGAGTGTCATTAAAGCTGCACGTCACCTGTACACTTCACTAAAGATATTTTAGTTCTTTATCACGGAGAGGTATGTATCTACACCCCTAAAAGCAAGGTATTTATGGTGCCATGGAATCAAGAAAAATGCTGGGGGATTCATTATCCATGCCAGACCAATGGGAAAGCTTCTAGGAGTGACATCATCTATTATGTCATTCTGTGAGGTCTAAGAGGTGGATACATGGGTCGTTGTCATGTAACTTTCCTGGTCTTGTAATAATTTTTAGACTATGGTTAGTAAGTAGTTAGGAATCCATCATTAACTCATAACTGTCATCATCAGTGGTATCGGTACAAAAACCATGTCTGGTGTATATGGACATTAGACTCTGCGCCTAAGAGGATGGCATTATCTGATCACCTCCAAGAGTACTGGCAAGAGAGTGGCAATGATGCATTTACCTGGTTCAATATTTAAGTGGACTGGGAGGACATGGACAGATGTTGTGCACTGTGACTACAGTGTACATACATAAATATACCATGGAACATTGTTAATCCAGAATATTTTTTTCCAGAAAGTCATTAAGAGCAGGTCAATTTCACTGGCTCCACCAACTTCTACTACTTTTCAACAGAATTTCCTATTTATGGCAGTGTATCACAAGATTAGACAATTGCAAGCAAATTATGGTTTAAAATATTGTAAATGTGCAAAAAAAGCAGAGTAGAGAGAAAAAAAAAGGCACATCAACCAAATAATAATGCTGCTAAGTCCCTATGCACTTCATATTGTAAATATATGATAGTCCTGAATCAATGCAGTAATTATAGACTATGTATTTGTGTGTACAAATATAGGTGAGACACAAGAGAGAATTTTTTTTTTTTTTGTAGGTGTATGCATCAATAGTGACAGCCTAAAAGAATCACTCACAATCATCTCTGATAATAAATTGGCTTGGACAACCCAGACTATGGTACCACTAAAGTAAATGTTTCCTTTTCTTTAAGCAGTTTCACTCTATGCAAATTTGCTTACATTGGGTGACCCTGGTTTTACTAGTAATTTGCTGTATGTGATATACATTAATTTATGCAATAACCCATCTCCTGCCCCACGTGTATTTTAACTGTCTCACTAAATTTTGCTCTAAACTGATTTATGACAAGAAAGCACTACAACAGGTTTAATTACCAGAGTTCATATTTTTTGGCAAAAGTCAATGAAGCAATGTGGAATTTGTAAGTCTTTATGCAATTTCACTTTATGCTCCATGGGAGTATAGGTTTTAACCCTTTCAGGGTCCAGAGGCCAAATTTCAAAGTGCGCACCAGGGTCCAAGAATTTAAAAAAAAGTTTTTGTTATTTTTCCTTATGAAATGGTAGAGAATCTTTTTCTGAAGGTAATAAAACAAAAAGTACGAAATTTGATGGAAAATTGATGAAATTATGCTCTCGCGAATTTTGATGTGTCAGCAATATTTACGAATCGGAGATTTTGCCGATTTTGACTCCCATTTTAGGCCAATTACATTATTCCAGTCGACCAAATTCTTAGCTATTTCACTAGTATTACTTTTATTCTATCGATTGAGCACAAGAAATCGCCAAGTCAACTGTTTCAACTACAAAATAAAGTGATCGGAAATTGGTAATTTGGCCAATTTAACACAAAGTTCAAAATATTTCAGTTTCAAAATAGGGTTCAGAATAAACAATGTAGGTATTCCTGGCACTAAACTAACATTTCCTCTGTTCATCAGTTACATTTTGAGGCTTTACAAATGAATTCCATTTTTATTTTTTATTCACATAATGAATTTTTATTCAAACCAAAAAATAGAAGATTTACTGTTATGCAATATTGTATAAATATCATCACCACATTTGTGAATGTATATTTGACCCACCAGCTGGTGCGTATTAGACGTGTGAGGTCGTTTGTTTATTCTTCAACATCAGCAAAAATTTAACATTTCCGCTACTTTGAGCTCAGTTTCAAGCCATTTCCAGTGCTAAAACCAATCAAAATCATCTCTATTTCTGTAATATGTCTTCTATTCTATCAAATGAGACCAAGAAATCGCAAATACAACTATAAAAAACGTACAAAAAAACACTGCAAAGTCGCTGTTTTAATCGAAAATCATGGTCTCAGTTTTTTTCTCTCATTATACACTGTGTGCTGCAGGATTTGTTTTATGTGGTGCACATACCACGTAGATGTATTCTCTCATATATAGGCCCAAATTTACCACTCACAGCTTATCAGAGTGAGCTGAGCTCATGGCGTAGATCTACAGTTTGGGCCCTGAACGTAAAGCCGTAGATCTACAGCACGGACCCTGAAAGGGTTAAAATGCAAATGATGATAAAATATACAATGGTACCTCGAGTTTTGAACAGCTCCCAACTTGAACAATTATGTAAGTGTATTTTTTGGGGTCTGAAAACGGAATAATCTAATTTACTAATATTCCTTATGGGAACAAATTCATTCGGTATTGGCTCTTGAACAGCCTTCTGGAACAAATTAAGTTCGTAACTCAAGGTCCTACAGTACAACGAAAAATGCTGATCCTTACCCTCCCATTTTCCTCTACTAAAAATACAATATTTTCCATCCTCAGCTGTAGAGATAAGTACTGTGACCCATGGAATACCAAGTCTGTGATTGTTCCTGAAGAAAAACACTGGAATTAGCAGAGAAACTGTGAATATAAAGCAAAAAATTATTTTGAAATTAAAATTAAAACCTTAGTGATATGACTGATGTTTAGAAATAGTAGCTCTCACAGTACTAATAGGCATTGTACATCATACACAGTTTAACCCTTTCAGGGTTTCGGACATGTACTAGTACGGCTTATGCACTAGGGTTTTCGACGTACTAGTACACCTAAATTCTAGCGCCCTCAAATCTAGTGAGAGAAAGCTGGTAGGCCTACATATGAAAGAATGGGTCTATGTGGTCAGTGTGCGCAGTATAAAAAAAAATCCTGCAGCACACAGTGCGTAATGAGAAAAAAAAAACTATGACCGTGTTTTTGGTTTAAAACGAATTTGCACTGTATTTTCGTATGGTATTTATTGTTGTATTCTAGTTTTCTTGGTCTCATTTTATAGAATGGAAGACACATTACAGAAATTGAGATGATTTTGACTGGTTTTACAATGAAAAGTACCTTGAAATTGAGCTCAAAGTAGCAGAAATGTTCGATTTTTGCCAAAGTTCAAAAGTAAACAAATCATGCTAAGCGTCCAATACACGTCAACTGGTGATTCTGATATTCTTTCGCAAGTGTGCCAATATTATTTATACCAATTCTACACTAATGCAGTACTCTGCATAACAGTAAATCATCTATTTTTTGTGAGAATAAAAATTCAAAGTGGAAAGCAAAAGAATGTAAGAGGGGCGTGGGGACGTGACTAGTGAACAGAGGAAATATTATTTTAGTGCCAGGAATGTCTTTCTTGTTTATTCTGGACCTTATTTGGAAATTGGCATCTTTTGAAATTTGTGTGAAATTGGCAAAATTGCTAAATTATGACCACTGTACGTGTATTGGATAGTTGAAATCGGTAAATGGGTGGTTTCTTGTACTCATTCGATAGAAAAAATGGAGTTCTAGCGAAATAGTTATGATTTTTGTTGACTAGTACACTGGAATTGGCCGAAAATAGGGCTCAAAGTGGCAAAATCACTGATGCGTAAACATCGATGAGACCGCTAACTTCGCGAGAGCATAATTCCGTAAGTTTTCCATCAAATTTCATACTTTTGGCGTCATTATGATCGGGAAAAGATTCTCTATCTTTTCATAAGAAATTTTTTTTTGTTTTTTTTGAATAAGTCTCGGAGAGGGCCTGGCGACCCTGAAAGGGTTAAGGATTAAATTCAATTCTTATTCTGATAGGGAGCCAATGGAGCTCATGTAAGAAGGCATTAATGAGAACTTCAGGTCGGAGCAAAATACCAGTCTAGCTATGTGATTCAGTACAGAGATAAGTCTATTAAGTAAGTACAGTAATTAGGCAAACCCACAAGCAAAACATTGCAAAAATCAATTTGAGAGGAAACAAAAGTGTGGATAAGGATTCCGGATACAGATAATGAATATGAAAACTACAAGATTTAACGAATGGGTTTTGGGACCTGACGAGCTGTTGGAGTGTGAGCAGGGTAATATTTTGTGAAGGGATTCAGGGAAACTGGTTAGCCACTCTTCAGTCCTGGAAAAGAGGAGTACAATGCTTGTACTTTAACCCTTTCAGGGTCCGTCCCGTAGATCTACGGCTTTACGTTCAGGGTCCAAACCGTAGAGCTCAGCTCACTCTGATAAACTGTGAGTGGTACATTTGGGCCTAGATATGAGAGAATACATCTATGTGGTATGTGTGTACCACATAAAACAGATCCTGCAGCACACTGTGTATAATGAGAGAAAAAAAACTGAAATCATGATTTTTCGATTAAAACAGCGACTTTGCAGTGTTTTTTCGTATGTTTTTTATAGTTGTATTTGCGATTTCTTGGTCTCATTTGATAGAATGGAAGACATATTACAGAAATAGAGATGATTTTGATTGGTTTTAGCACTAGAAATGGCTTGAAACTGAGCTCAAAGTAGCAGAAATGTTAAATTTTTGCCGATGTTCAAGAGTAAACAAACGACCTCACACGTCTAATACACGCCAGCTGGTGGGTCTAATATACATTCACAAATATGGTGATGATATTTATACAATTATTACAGTACTGCTTAACAGTAAATCTTTTATTTTTTGGTATGAATAAAAATTAATTATGTGAATAAAAAATCAAAATGGAATTTATTTGTAAAGCCTCAAAACGTAACTAATGAACAGAGGAAATGTTAGTTTAGTTCCAGGAATACCTACATTGTTTATTCTGGACCCTATTTTGAAATTGGAATATTTTGAACTTTGTGTTAAATTGGCCAAATTAACAATTTCCAATCACTTTAATTTGTAGTTGAAACAGTTGACTTGGCGATTTCTTGTGCTCAATCGATAGAATAGAAGTAATACTAGTGAAATAGCTAAGAATTTGGTTGACTGGAATAATGTAATTGGCCTAAAATGGGAGTCAAAGTCGACAAAATCGCCGATTCGTAAATATCGCTGACACATCAAAATTCGCGAGAGCATAATTTTGTCAATTTTCCATCAAATTTAGTACTCTTTGTTTTATTACCTGCACAAAAAGATTCTCTACCATTCCATAAGAAAAAATAACAAATTTTTTTTTTTTAAATTCTTGGACACTGGGGCACCACTTCAGATTTGGGCCTTGGACCCTGAAGGGGTTAAAGGAGGGGTTTAGGATATTGGTAGTTTGGAGGGACGACAGTTTAAACTGTCGTATCTGAGCACCTCTGCAAAGACAGTGATTATGTATGAGTGATGATGAAAGTGTTGAATGATGATGAAAGTTTTTTCTTTTGTGGGGGTTTTTTTCTTTCTTTTTGGGTCACCCTACTTCAATGTTAAAAAAAAACAAAAAACAAAAAAAATTATTAATGCAGGTAAACACTGAGATCCTTTGCTGATCTTACAGACAGCAAATTGACAGTGCCACAAAAAACCATGACATCTCCACTGCTCCAGCCTTCTCCATGATGCACTGTTTGTAAACCACACCTCACTCTCATATAGAGGTGTTAGTATCACTGTACCCTGGTACATTATGTTCATATAATGCACATTAGTAGCCGCCTATTTTCATCTGTTAAAACATGGTATACATATCAGTTTTCTTGATGCAGTATTAAATTATATTAAACTGTAACCTAAAATAAAAAAAAATTACATTGTGCAGAACAGATATATGTTTATATGCATTTCATACAATACTTTGCCCTCTGCTACAGTGACACACTGTACTGTATTAATATTATCTACATGGTATGCTGATATGTCTGAATTTTTATTTGGGATTATAACTATTCTTATTATTATTATTACTGTATAATATTGATGGGAAGGTGCTAAACCAGTAAGGGTTATATAGTAGGTAACAAGGTAGTCAGGTCCAATCCAAGGAAGAAGTTAGATCCAGTTCCTTAGATTAAGAGCCCTTCCCCAGTATCAAAACATCCCCCTTCTTAAAGGCTTCCCAGAGATTATTACCAGCATTCCCACCTATTTAAACAGCCAATACTATATACTGTATTTTCAGAACTTTATACATAATTTTGTATTTTTTCTTAACAACACTAAAGATTTAAATTTGAAAGTTTTCTACAACAATGTCATATAAACTAGTTGACATGTATTGGACGCGTGGCATGATTTGTTTACTTTTGAACTTTGGCAAAAATCGAACATTTCTGCTACTTTGAGCTCAATTTCAAGGTACTTTTCATTACGAAACCAATCAAAATCATCTCAATTTCTGTAATATGTCTTCCATACTATAAAATGAGACCAGGAAAACTAGAATACAACCATAAATACCATACGAAAATAGTGCAAACTCGCTGTTTTAAACCAAAAACACAATTTTTTTTTTCTCATTATGCAATGTGTACTGCAGGATTTTTTTTATACTGTGCACACTGACCATATAGACCCATTCTTTCATATGTAGGTCTACTAGCTTTCTCTCACTAGATCTGAAGGCGCTAGAAATTACGAGTACTAGTACGTCGATAACCCTGGTGCGTAAGCTGTACTAGTACTTCAGAAACCCTGAAAGGGTTAACACACACTTTAAAGCCCTTACCTTTATGTTCCATGATTGTACCAACTTCAAAACGTGAACTAAGATTAAAAATTCTCAGAATCTCATCTGAACCACCTGAGATGAGGAACTTCCCACTGATAGCAATCTTCCTCACACTCCCTGTGTGTGAGTGGTCAGTAAAAGACTGAGTAAGGGACACTTTCCCATCCTGAAAAAAAATTAACTATAAATAGCTAGGTCTTTCTGAGAACAGAACCAAAAGAAAATAGGCTAACAAATATACTTTACTCAAGTCTTCTGGGCTACTGCTGTAAGGTGGTACAGCACTGGTAAGGGTTCACCTAAATTATGCAACTTAGTTCTTGTCTCCATATTACAGAATATAAGTGAACCACTGTACGGGTGGGTCACTTAAGACTCACTTGCTGCTTGAACTCACAGCAAGCGAGTCTAACTCCAAGCCAGCATGTAAGCCACTAGGCCAGCTGGCTACAGTGGCATACGTAATGGCCTGGAGTTTAAGCTTAAGACTCATTTGCCTCGAATTCGAGCCCAACCTGTACAGTGGTTTGTCTGTAATCATGTCATTAAGATTTCATGAGTCGTGGTGAACCTAAGTGCAGTGGAAAATATACAGAAAAGGATGAGAAAGTTAATTCCATTTAGTATAAAAAATCACTGAATTTATACTCTTTTTAAAGACAAAAGTATTTAATGGGATATGATTAAAGTGTACTGTACAAGTGAATAAATATAATAAAGAAAAGTAATATAAAATAAGTGCTGAACATATCTGAGAAGGACAGAGCCTGGAGTAATGGATTAAAGTTAAATATGTTAAGACTAATAAATTGGACAAGTATATAAATACACCTACCATCCGACTTACGACCGAGTTCGGCTCCAAGAAACCGGTCGTAAGTCAAAATGGTCATAAGTCGAACTTTACTACTGAATATCAACAAAACATTTTTGTAATGACTTTATTTTATTGTTTTATTTTGGTATTTCATGTTTTACTTTACTTTTTATGCTCTTAGTACTGTATTTTATACTGTAAGGTTTAGGATAAACACTGTGTACAACACAAATAGTTGTTTATTTCCCAGAAATTTGGCATAAAAAACACGGTCGTAAGTCGAGCAGGTCGTAAGTCGGATGATAGGTGTAAATGGGTGTGGTTAAGTGTGAGCTGAACCTGCTTATCATTGGCCAATAGATCTACTACAGTGCCTCACTATTCTTATGTTCTCATAAGATCTTTTTCACCTGCATCATGGCACCTCCCATGAAGGGAAGATATATGTAAATGCTCAATAATAACCCACAGAGACAGAAACTAGAGAGATTAACTGATCTGTATATTTCAACCCCCCTTCTGGGATCCTCTTCAGCAGATCTACATTTTAGATGCTTATATACATTGTCTCAATTCAATATTCAAAAAAATATTTTCAAATACATTATACATAAATATAAATCTGTACATATAAAAGCTACAGTACAGCAAACCCTTGATAAAAACAGATTTTTAAAATTCTGGGAATAATCCATTGGTTAAATTGTACTTTTAGCTTCCTTATTTCAATGTTAAAGTGCATATATCTGTAAGTTGTGAGTACAATACTACATTAGCTGTACAGTAAAGTATTTTAGTGCAGTTTTTTTTAAAGTATGGAGAGTTAGAGGTATCAAGAAAATGGAGGGAATATTTCGAGGAATTGTTAAATACTGTATTGATGAGGATAGGGAAGCTGTGATTTTATGTATAGGGCAAAAAGGAATAACACCTTGTAGGAGTGAGGAAGAGCAAGTTGTAAGTGTGGGGGAAGTTTGTGAGGCAGTGGGTAGAATGAAAGGGGGTAAAGCAGCGGGGGTTCATGGGATAAAGATAGAAATATTAAAAGCAGGTGAGGATATAGTTTTGGAGTGGTTGGTGCTTTTATTTAATAAAAGTATGGAAGAGGGTAAGGTACCTAGGGATTGGCAGAAAACATGCATAATTCCTTTGCATAAAGGCAAAGGGGGCAAAAGAGAATGCAAAAATTATAGGGGAATAAGTCACGTAGATCTACGTTTGGAGTAAGAGTAAGACGGAGAGTAGGATAGCAGACGAACAAGGAGGCTTTAGGAAGGGTAGAGGGTGTGTAGACCAAGTGTTTACAGTGAAACATATAGGTGAGCAGTATTAAATAAGGGTTAAGAGGTTTTTGTGGCATTTATGGATTTGGAAAAGGCATATAGCAGGGTGGATACGAGGCAATGTGGCAGATGTTGCAAATGTATGGAATAGGAGGTAGGTTATTGAAAGCAGTGAAGTTTTTATGAGGATAGCGAGGCTCAGGTTAGAGTATGTAGGAGAGAGGGAGATTATTTCCCAGTAAAAGTAAGGGGAAGATATAGTGTTAGAGTGGTTGGTATTTTTGTTTAATAAATGTATGAAAGAGGGGAAGGTACCTAGGGATTGGCAGAGAGCATGTATAGTCCCTTTATATAAAGGGAAGGGGGACAAAAGAGATTGTAAAAATTATAGAGGAATAAGTTTACTGAGTATACCAGGAAAAGTATATGGTAGGGTTATTATTGAAAGAATTAGAGGTAAGACAGAATGTAGGATTGCTGATGAGCAAGGAGGCTTTTGAGTGGGTAAGGGATGTGTAGATCAAGTGTTTACATTGAAGCATATATGTGAACAGCATTTAGATAAAGGTAGGCAAGTTTTTATTGCATTTATGGATTTAGAAACGGCATATGATAGAGTGGATAGGGGAGCAATGTGGCAGATGTTGCAAGTATATGGAATAGGTCATAAGTTACTAAATGCTGTAAAGAGTTTTTATGAGGATAGTGAGGCTCAGGTTAGGGTGTGTAGAAGAGAGGGAGACTACTTCCCGGTAAAAGTAGGTCTTAGACAAGGATGTGTAATATCACCATGGTTGTTTAATATGTATTTATAGATGGGGTTGTAAAAGAGGTAAATGCTAGTGTTCGGGAGAGGGGTGGGATTAAATTATGGAGAATCAAATACAAAATGGGAATTGACACAGTTACTTTTTGCTGATGATACTGTGCTTATGGGAGATTCTAAAGAAAAATTGCTAAGGTTAGTGGATAGCTTTGGGAGTGTGTGTAAACGTAGAAAGTTGAAAGTGAACATAGAAAAGACTAAGGTGATGAGGGTATCAAATGATTTAGATAAAGAAAAATTGGATATCAAATTGGGAAGGAGTAGTATTGAAGAGGTGAATGTTTTCAGATATTTGGGAGTTGACATGTCAGAAGATGGATTTTTGAAGGATGAGGTTAATCATAAAATTGATGAAGAAAAAAAAGGCAAGTGGTGTGCTGAGGTATATGTGGAGACAAAAAACATTATCTATAGAGGCAAAGAAGGGAATGTATGAAAGTATAGTAGTACCAACACTCTTATATGGATGTGAAGCTTGGGTTGTAAATGCTGCAATGAGGAGGCATTTGGAGGCAGTGGAGATGTCCTGTCTAAGGGCAATGTGTGGTGTAAATATTATGCAGAAAATTCAGTGTGGAAATTAGGAAAGGTTTGGGGGATTAATAAAAGTATTAGTCAGAGGGCTGAAAAGGGGTTGTTGAGGTGGTTTGGTCATTTAGAGAGAATGGATCAAAGTAGAATGACTTGGAGAGCATATAAATCTGTAGGGAGGGAAGGCGGGGTAGGGATCGTCCTCGAAAAGGTTGGAGGGAGGGGGTAAAGGAGGTTTTGTGGGCGAGGGGCTTAGACTTCCAGCAAGCGTGTGTGAGCGTGTTAGATGGAAGTGAATGGAGATGAATGGTATTTGGGACCTGACGAGCTGTTGGAGTGTGAGCAGGGTAATATTTAGTGAAGGGATTCAGGAAAACCAGTTATTTTTATATAACCAGACTCGAGTCCTGGAAATGGGAAGTACACTTTAAAGGAGGGGTTTGGGATATTGGCAGTTTGGAGGGATATGTTGCGTATCTTTATACGTGTATGCTTCTAAACTGTTGTATTCTGAGCACCTCTGCAAAAACAGTGATTATGTGAGTGAGGTGAAAGTGTTGAATGATGATGAAAGTATTTTCTTTTTGGGGATTTTCTTTCTTTTTGAGTCACCTTGCTTCGGTGGGAGACGGCTGACTTGTTAAAAAAAAAAAAAGAGAGTAGGCCTCAGACAAGGATGTGTGAAGTCACCATTGTTGTTCAATACAGTGGACCCCCGGATATTGTAGTCGTCGGATTTCGTAATATTTGGTAATCATAACGTTTTTTCGTCAAAATGTTGGCTCGGTGATCATCATTTACCTCGGTAATAGCTGTTCGTCCCAAACGCATACGAGTGGCCCCAAGCGGCCCGACACACTATCCCACAGCATTCACAGCCCAGTCTGCTATTGTTATCAGTGAGTGACTGTCACCCCAAAACGTTCATATGATACATTTCGTAATATTCCATTCTTTTTTGTACTTGCAACTGCTAAGTAACCCACCATGGGCCCAAAGAAAGTCTCTAGTGCCAGCCCTTTGGTAAAAGTAAAAAAACACTATAGAATTCAAGAATGACATCATTGCAAAATATGGAAGTGGAGTACATGGGGCAAAGCTTGCCAGGTTGTATAAGAAACCTCATACAACCATCGCTTCCATTGTGGCAAGAAAAAGAAAATCAAGGAAGCTGTTGTTGCGAAAGGTGCAAATATGCTTACAAAACAGACATCAAAAAATACTCGAAGATGTGGAGACTTTGTTGGTGGTGTGGATCAATGAAAAACAGTTAGCAGAAGATAGTGTTATGCAGTCGATAATTTGTGAAAAGGCAAGGCAGTTGCATGATGATCTCGTAAAGAAAATACCTGGAACTAGTGCTGATGTTATTGAATTTAAGGCCAGAAAAGGGCTGGTTTGAGAGCTTTAAGAAGCGTAGTGGCATACACCGTGTGGTAAGGCATGGCGAGGCTGCAAGCTCTGACAAATATGCGGCTGAAAAATATGTTTAGGAATTCAAGGGGTACACAGGGGCCCTGAACAATTCAAACCCCAACAAGTGTTCAATTGTGACGAAACAGGCCTCTTTTGAAAGAAAATGCCAAAGAGGACCTACATCACGCAGGAGTGCTGTATAGCCCTTGTGGCTTAGCGCTTCTTTTTGATTATAATAATAAAATAATCATGCAGGAGGAAAAGGTACTCCCAGGACACAAGCCTATGAAAGA